TTATTATTATATTATTATTTTTTATGATTATTTATTAAATTATAATTTATGATTTCGTGTTTCAAGTTTTATCATACCCAGGATGTTTACTAGACTCTTGTTCGGACAGATTTCAGTGAGTTATTCCTAAAAATTACAGCCTACAATAAAAAAACTACATATTTCCATGCAAAAAAATGTACAGCTTTGAGCACAGAAATCTGGACATAATCAGACTGCTAGGGAGGTTAAACTAATTAGTCCCAGAATTGGTCCTGTAAACATGCACTGAAGCTCAGATTTGAGGGGCCGATAAGTGGAGCGGTCATTCAACTGTCTAAGAGCTTCAGTAGAATATTGCTCCACCGCTCCTCCCTGATCAGCCCTCTGAATGACCAAATCCTTACATTTTTTAAGGTGTTCCAGTGCTTTTGCTTCCTGTATTGAGATATTAGACAACTTAAATTTATCTTCTACTCTTTTAGCTCTGTTAGTTCCTTTTCTACTACTGACTGAAATACCTCCACTGCTGTACTTCTAGCGTGTACAGGGTAGAGAAATTTGTCGCCCTGAAATGCGATTACTGTTATCATCCCCATGCACACCACCAGTAGATTCGAGCTGCAAGTGTTTCAAATTTAAAGCACTACATAAATCAGAGAAAAAAAGGAAACTTTATCAGAAAATTCACCTGTCATGTCTCTGGTTTCTCGCAGGCTCTCTTCCTCCGCCAACTCATCACTGAAATGCTTCCTGAGCAAAAGTTTTCTGACAAATCTATTAACGTTGATGAGCATTGAAGCAGATCAAAATGGTATGAAGGAAAGAAATTGAGACTGTTTGATATCAGCTACAATTCATCAACACTCAGTATTATGCCACACAAGTTAATCACATTAGAGTTTTTACTTTAAGTTTTCTTCCTTAACCACTTGCTAACCGCACTATAGCCAAATGACGACCACAACACGGTTATCCAGTTCTGGGACATATGACGTCCTCCTAGAACCTGCCCTCCCATGTCCTCCCCCAGCAGCATGCACCTGGTGATCTCCATGATCGCTGCGTGCTACGGACACAGCTGATCACATGATGAAGGCCAATCACAGCTGCCTTTTACCACATGATCAGCTTCATAACGCCATGATTTCAGGTGCGATTTGGGAATTGAAATCGTACCTGAAATTGAATCTAATGAATGTGAGTGTCTTAGCATACGCAATTTGCTGCAGCGTGATTTCAAAGGTAGTTCTTATATTACTTTTTTTGCAGTTTGTTGTGATTTCACATACATAGACTGCAATAGAAATCGCACTGCAAAACGCAAGTGTGTCTAAATATGTGCAATTTGTGATCATTTGTATTAACCCTTTCCTAGTTTTTTCCTGCGGTCTCTGCCTGTTCAAGCCTGATCCTCACATTGTTCCTCCCTGTGACTAGTACAGCCCCACCCCACATCACCTCTGACAAGTAGCAGAACATGGAAATTGCAAGAAATCGCTAGAAAATGCAATGGAAAACGCAAGTAATCATTGGGAAATCTTCCCAAGTTGCAAACAAATCTTCAGAAAATGCGATGAAGTCGCAAACAAATCGCATCCAGTGTGAGACTATGGTAGGTATTTTTTTTATCTGCAAACCATGTGGTATCATCTGTTCAGACAGGTATTGTTTAACCCCCTTCATGACCAGAGCCTTTTTCTGCTATTCAGCACTGTGCTACTTTAGCTGGCAATTGTGCAGTCATGTAACACGGTACACAAATCAAAATGTTATCATTTTTTCATACAAATAGCTTTCTTTTAGTGGTGTTTGATCACCACTGACATCAATTATGAGAGTACAAAAAATGGCCACTGCCCCAATCTATAACTTGCCTTCACAGCAAGGAGCACATGGAAGGATGACGCATTTCAAACAATGAAAAAGAAAATTCCCAGCTCAACTTACCAACCAGCTTGCAAACAAACCAACTTGTCCTGTCTAACAGTTTGCGTTAAAAACAGGGGTTTAGTTATCACACATTTGCAAATACATGCGTAAGCTTTAGAGCCCCTTCATGGCACCCCAATATTCTGCAGTTCCTAACCCTATAAATTTTGAGAGCCTCTATGTAGAAGCACATGTATAAATGGATAGACTGAGGGCAGATGAGCCCGAGGGAGTCCACCCCTCCTTAAAGGTATAGAGGAGCTCTGGACACCCAGCATATAGCACAATGGTAGCCAGGGTGTTCAGTGCGCCCCCTCACCAGAAAATCAACAGTACAAAAAATGGCCACTGCCCCAGTCTATAACTGGCCTTCACAGGAAGGAGCACATGGAAGGGCAACGCATGTCAAACAATATAAAAGAAAAATTCTTAGCTTAACTTACCAACCAGCTTGCGAACAAAGCAAATTGTCCTCTCTAACAGTAACATTTTCAAATACATGCTTAAGATGCAGAGCCCCTTCACGGCATCCATTATGAGAACCTTACCAAACTAACTGTGGAGGAAAGGGTTTCCCTAAATCCAGTGCTGGGCTGTAAATTCACCACGCTAGGGAGAGTCTGGCCTTGGAGGCCTGACTCATGAGCCACTACAAGGACTGAGCTGTTTGTTGCATGCTGCCAGAAGGAAGTTGCAAATGTCTGAGGTGAACAGGGCTTATCTTGCAATCTTGAAGGAGGCAGCCATGAGACCCTCATGCATTCACACAAATTAAGGGATTCCTCTGGGCCTGAAGGGCCTGGACATGTCAACAAAGGGACAATTATTTTTTCCTGAGGCAGGAAGATCCTGGCTAGGGCCTTGTGTAGCATCAAGCCCAAGTACTCCAATTTGTGAGATAGGTCCAGCGATGACTTAATCAGATTGAGGACCTAACTGAAGAGTTGAAGAGTCTGTGTTGACTGTTATATTGATACCAAATAACAAAAATAGAGAGAAGATTGTCCAGGTTCCCTACAATATGAATCCTCAGAGCATGGATCAGAGACAAAATCTAGGCAATCACTTCAGTGAAGTCTTAGGGAGGATTTGGACTGGCCAAAGGAAGGGCGACAAGTTGGTAATGTTGATTGACCACTGCAAAACACAGAAAGAGTTGAGAGGCGAAAGAGATGGGAAAAGATGGGAACATGCAAGTAGGCATCCCAGATGTCTATGGAGGCCATAAAATCCCACAGAAAGATGGAGCCAATGACCAACCTGGCTTTTTCAAACCTTTTAAACATGTAGAACAAGTTGAGAGTCTTGAGAGTCTTTGGATCCAGAAAAGGCCAAAATTCTTGAGCTTTCTATTTATATAGTATGGTTTTGAATGAGATTAATTGAAGAAGAAAAAAACAGAGTATGAAATGAGTTAAAAATAGGCACTCTTTTGCAATGCATGTTTTGGTGTGATTTTGCCTTTAAAAAGCATTCAACTGCTACTCGCTTTTGAAGTGCCATTAAGAAATAACGACACTGAAAATGTGACACTGTTTTGGCAAGTTTTTATCCATTTCTGGGAATGCATGCAGAGGCATGCCTTTTTACGCACGTTCCTGGAACGCAAAGGTGTGAATGAAACCAAGGGCCTTGTTCACACAGGGCGCACTATACCGTACACCTGCATAGGTGTTCCATACATCCCCATGCAGGCAGTCCCATTGATATCACAGCTGCTGTTTCCCAATGTCAGGGATCCCGGCCGCTCAGTGGTGCGCGCATGCGCAGATCGCCGACTCATCCTAGCCGGAGAGCACGGAGTTCTCGGCGATCGCAGTGCCGGCCGCGCATGTGCACTAGCAATCGCAGCCGCACCAATGAGAGCACAGGGTGCCCTATTTAAACCTGCCCTGTGCATCTCCAAATTGCCTGATGGTCTTGTTCCCTTTACCTGTGTTCCTCCTGATCCTGTGTTCCTGGTTTCCTTGTTGCTGACCCCGCCTGCTCCTGATACTGCTGTCTTCTCCTGCCCTGACCCCTGGCTCGTCCTGACTATTCTCTGTCTGATCCTGATTGCCTGACCTCCTGTTACTGAATCCGGCTTGTGACCCATTATTCTTCTGCCTATTGCTCAGTAGTGTTTGCTCCGCTGTTGCCAACCCGGCCTGTCTGACTACGCATATAACCTCTTCACATCTGGCTCTCACCTGCACCACGCCATTGGCACCTGCCTCTACCACAGCTGGTGTTTCTCAGGGGTCGCGACCTGGTCTCAGGCTGCTTCAAATCCATCCCCACCATCAGGGGCTCTGGTGAACCAGCAGACTGAGGCTTAGACTCCGCGCCCTGGGGAATCCCGGCCAGTGGGCCGCTAGAGGCTACAGCCAGTCGGCTACTGACACCCAATATGACATCCATGTGGATGTGGGTACATATCCCCGAACTCACCATATCTGTGTTCAGGAATACTTACCTGCACTCATAGGTATGTCATATTGGGATGCAGTGGCTGTGTCAGTGCAGCGGCTGTGTCCCAATTCAAATCAATGAGACTTCTTACATAGAGTAAACATGGCCCTGCAGAGACATACGGCATTCAATCAGTATGCCCTGAGTGAATGCAGCAGGCATTACTATATTTGCATATTAAAGTGGTTGGAAACCCTCACATATACCCAGTGAAATGAATGGCCTCAGGTGATACACAGAGATGAAACAAATCCTACTACATACACTATATTGCCAACAGTATTGGGATGCCTGCCTTTTAAACGCACATGAACTTTAATGACATCCCAGTCTTAGTCCATGTGGTTCAATATTGAGTTGGCCCACCCCTTGCAGCTATAACAACTTCAACTCTTCTGGGAAGGCAGTTCACAAGGTTTAGGAGTGTGTCTATGGAAATGTTTGACCATTCTTCCAGAAACGCATTTGTGAGGTCAGGCACGAGAAGGCCTGGCTCGCAGTCTCCGCTTTAATTCATCCGAAAGGTATTCTATCAGGTTTAGGTGCAGGCCTGTCAAGTTGCTCCACCTCAAACTCGTTCATCGATATCTTCATGGACCTTGCTGTGTGTACTGGTGTGCAGTCATGTTGGAACAGGAAGGGGCCATCCCCAAACTGTTCCCACAAAGTTGGGAGCATGAAATTGTCCAAAATGTCTTGGTAGGGTTCGCTTTACTGAAACGTAGGGGCCAAGCCCAACCCTTGAAAAACAAATCCACAAAATAATCCCCAATTCCCCCACCACCAACCTTTATACATGTCACAATGCAGTCAGACGAGTACCATTCTCCTGGCAACAGCCAAACCCAGACACGTCAATTGGATTGCCAGACAGAGAAGCGTGATTGGTCACTCAAGAGAACACAGCTAGACTGCTCTAGGGTCCAGTGGTGGCGTGCTTTATACCACTGCATCTGACACTTTGCATTGCACTTGGTAATATAAGGCTTGAATGCAACTGCCCGGCCATGGAAACCCATTCCATGAAGCTCTCTATGCACTGTTGCTGTGCTAATCTGAAGGCTGCACAAAGTTTGGAGGTCTTTAGCTATTGACTCTGCAGACAGTTGGTGACTTATGTGCACTGTGTGTTTCACCATGCTCTGACCCCGCTCTGTCATGTTACATGGCCTACCACTTCATGGCTGAGTTGCGGTTGTTCCCAGTTGCTTCCACTTTATTATAATACCACTAACAGGTGACTGTGGGAAGGAATAGTAGGAAGGAAATTTCACAGATGGACTTATTGCACAGGTGGCAACCTATCACGGTACCACACTCGAATTCACTGAGCTCCTGAGAGTGACCCATTCTTTCACAAATGTTTGTAGAAGCAGTCTGCATGCCTAGGTGCTTGATTTTATACACCTGTGGCCATGGAGGTAATTGGAACACCTGAATCCAATGATTTGGAAGGGGTGCCCAATAACTTTGGCAATATAGTGTAAGTTGTACTTGTTTATCTGCAGTCATCTCCTCTCTACACTTGTTCAAAGTACAGAATTCATAAAGCATGTCTGAGCTATCGGAAAAAAGGGGCAGAGAGTTGCAATTACACACCGCAGAGCTCAGTGAGGAGAGCTCTGAGAGCTGATTGGCGGGAAGAGACACACTCCCCCCACACAGCTCATAGGAACAGAGTTAAGGCTGTCAAACTGCAGGAGCTCCCTTCCCTGTCACCTTTTTTCTCTTGGTGTCAGGAAAACTTGTCAGAAGTGACTTAAAGAGATAGCAGACAAATGAGGCAGTGGACAATAATGACACTTAGTGCTTCGGCTAGAGCTGTCAGCAGGAATCCCACAGCAGGAGTTTACTGCTCTGTGCAGGTAGTTTCCACCTCCCCACCACAATGACGTTGCTCTCAAGAGGAGGATTTTGAAAAAGAAGTGGTGGAACAATGGACAGATTTGTGGATAGAGAATACTCTGAACATAAATGTTAGCATGTTATATGAAAGGTGCATAGTACTCTTCTGTGTGGGGAGAGTAGGAAACAGAACAATTCTGATGGTGATAAGAGTCGTATTGTGAGTAGATAAGGTTTTCTTTGGAAAAAGCTGAACTTTTTGGCTGGAAAACACTGACATGTATGTCAATTAGACCCAATGGGATTGATTTACTTAAACTGGAGAGTGCAAAATCTTGTGCAGCTGTGCACAGAAACCAATCAGCTTTCAGGTTTTATTGTCAAAGTTAGAAGTTGATTGGCCACCATGCACAGCTGCACCAGATTCTACACTCTCCCGTTTTAGTAAATCAACCCCAATGCTAGTACAGATAGTGGGTCAATACAACCTCATGACAGTCAAAAGAGGGAGGAATCTGAAGGATATGCTGCTAACTGGTAAACTCCAGGCCTTGGAGAGGAAGTGTTGGAAGAAAAATCATAAACAATGGATGCATACTATGTGTGTAAGCGGTGCACCATTTGTGAATAAGTAGGAATAGAGGAGGTATTTACCAATTTTTATTCATTGAAGCAAATCAGAATTCATGCTTTTTTGAATTTTCAGTCACATAAAGTAATTCATCAGTTTATTTGTCTCTGTAAGTTACTTTACAGAGACAAAAAGAGAGTTTGGGACCCATATGGGTGAACATTTGAGGAATACTATTACAAATAGTTCCAAAGGTCACATGGCAAAAAAACAAAAGCTATGTTTTAGTTGTATGCTAGCTCTAGAATAGGTGATTTTGATTGCATACGCCACCCAAAGGAATGCTTCTGGATATATACATGTACCACCCTAGTACCACATGATCTAAATCGGGAGCAGAACTACACTGCATCTGAGCATCACAAATCAAAAAACAATATTTCATTCATGTTTAATATTCAACAGCTTCCGTGCCGCCATATAGCAGAAATACTGCTACAGGACGGCACGGGTGCACAAAATTATATATATAAATATATATATATATATATATATATATATATATATATATGTGATTTTTCATTGCCGGGTAAGGGGTGCACGGCATTTGCGGCCTCGACTGTCAATCACCGGGTCCCAGCCAGTGATTCCTTGCCAACACCCGGTGATCACCAAATATCTCCGACGGCAGAGAGACCTGTGTATAAACAACACAGATATCTCCCGTCAGCTTCTGCACACTGCTTTTTTATGGCTCTGCATAGCAGAGCCATACAAAGCAGTGTGCTTACAGTGAAGCACACATACAACCCCCATAGTGAAAAAGCACACAGTTAACCCTTTGATCGCCCCAGATGTAACCCCTTCCTGCCCAGTGCCATTAGTACTGTGTCGGGCTTTTTATGAGCACCGATCACTGTATTGGTGTCATTGGGGATCTCAGTGACCACCAAGTCAGTTCCCCTCCCCCCCATTGTAAGAATGCCCGCCGCAGTCCCGCTATAAATTGCTGATCGCAGCCATTGCTAATAAAAAAAAAAAATTCCAGTATATATATATACCGCCATTTGTAAATGCTATAACGTTCACGTATACCAATTAATTTACACGTATTGGGATTCTTTTTAGCAAAGATATGTAATAGAATACATTTTGGCCTAAATTTATGAAGAAATTTCATTAAAAAAAAAATTTTTACTGGACATGTTTAATAGCAAAAAGTCAAAAATATTGCTTTTTCTCAAAATTGTCGGTCATTTTTTGTTTATAGCACAAAAAAAATAAAAAAATGCAGAGGTGATCAAATACCACCGAAAGAAAGCTTTATTTGGGGGAAAAAAAGAAAATAAATTTGGGTGTAGCGTTGCATGACCGCGCAATTGTCAGTTAAATTAACGCAGTGCCGTATCGCAAAAAATGGCCTGGTCAGGAAGGGGGGTAAGTTCTCTGGAGGGCAAGTGATTAAAGCAAACTCACACATCCATCCATCCATGAGAAAATCATTTTGAAAACCTCCCCACTAGCATTTCTGGCCATGGCCATCTTAAGTAAGGGCAGATGATATATGTAGCATTTACTTCTTGAAACCCATCCCCCTTAGCTCAGACATGCAGGCTGGAGAAAACCTCTCCTCCCCTCCTGAGGACTCCTGGGATGTACGACATTTGTCTAGGCATGGATACCAGGAAGTAACTGAATAACTGTTTTTAAAGTTTATTTACTAATGCTAACAGCATAAAGATTAAAAATAGTGAAGTTGTGCTTTAAGTTGTATGTTTACTTTTGCAATGAAATTTGAGAAATCTCCCCTATATATGTGTTATGTGTTCTTATTCACAAAGCACACGTTAAAAAAATATATATATTTCTTACCTTTTAGATGTTTCTGAGAAAAAGGCCTCATGGCACATTGCAAGCATTTTTGGACAGTCTGGGAACTCGTTGAGCTATCCCTCATTAACATGCAATGTCGGAGGCCATACCAGGCATACAGTGTATAAATCTAGTTTACAACTGATAATGAAGAGCTGCCCGTACAGTAAGGGTTAACTAAAAAAGCTACAATTTCTGGGGAAATTGTGTGAAGTGTTCTTGCCTCCTTCAGTAGTCTACAACTGGAGTGGGCGGAGTAACTGGGTGGAGTGGGCGGAGTAACTGTTGTGTGGTTGGAGTGGCTGGAGTAACTGTGAAAAGGTTGGACTGGGCAGAGTAACTTTATGAGGTGGGCAGAGTAACTGTGTGGAGTGTTTGGAGTGAGTAAAGATAGTAAACATTACACTAACCAATTGATTGATCAAATTTAAAAAGTGCACATGGCAAGCTTGATAGGGAGAGAAATGCATTTCAACTTTTAAATATTTATATAGCATATTTAATTGCAATGTTGTTGCCCAAAGTGCTTCACAGTTACATTAAAACATACATTTATAAAAACATTAGCAGCATTATCACCTCAAATACTCTCTTCTGTAGAAAACTTATTTCCAAACCTTTAACCAGAAGCTGGCCAAACTGTCACGAATTCAAAATTAGATTTCAAATAGGGCAGAGAAGAGCGGTTTAAAAACAAACCGCTCCAACTTGCTCACTTCACTGGCATCTTCAAATGGTCGTAGTTTTAAAAACTATAAATCCTACAGCAAAGAGCTTTATATTGTGAGAATCACAAGACCCAGACCTACATTGTGATGCATAGTATGTCTCTGAAATATTAACAATGAAGGCACAGTCACAGTTTAGAAATTGCCCTTCAAATTTTAGGTGGCTAGAGTGGAGTTTCAATGAATGTCAATGGGCGGCATGAGTTGCAAACAAATGGTCATATTGTGAAAGCTATCAGGACTATGGCTTAGCCGTGAACATTTTTAGTGGCAGCAGGGATAGCTGAACGTTTTGATATAAGATTTGTGTAGGTGGGCTTGAAATGAGGGAGTGATGGCAGTTTAGAAATCATGTCCTGATTTTTCAGCTCACACTCTAGCTTTTGTCAGCTCCCACTCTAGTTTTGAACATTCCGCCATTCATTCCTATGGGACCAATTTCACCACAAAAACGCCGATATTTCATGAACCATTCGTCGAAACGTTCCACAAAGTAATAACACACCAATCGGGAACAATCCGCACGTTTCACTATATTACTGTGTATGTAGTGTAAAAACTGTGGGAGGAGTTAGGGTGGTAAATTTGTCTATAATAATAAGAATATCTATGTGAGATAACAGTAAGTGGTCTGCCATACAAGAACACTTAATTAAGCATTACGCCAAAGCCCCCTTCTAAATTTTACATAGCAGGGAGAGCTTGTAATGAATTCTAAAGAGGAGCTTCCGTCAAAGTTTACAAAAATAAAAGTCAGCAGCTACAAAGACTGTAGCTGCTGATTTTTTAAAAAAACAGCCACTTTCCTGTCCTGGGATCCAACGGTGTCCTCACTGCAGCCGGTTTCACCGGCCATCCTCTCTCCCCAGCGTTGACATCTTAAAGTGTTACTAAACCCCCAACAGTAAGATCAGTCTGTATATGCAGTAAAGAATGCTTGTTATACTCACTGTGGAACCTAAGGGGCTAATCCTCCGCATTGTGTAAAAATGCTGTTTGATCCTGACTTCTCTGATCCTCCCCTTCCAGTGCCCCCCTTTTATCTCCTGGTAAGACATATCGTGTGGAGTCACTCTGCACATGCTCAGTTTGATGTGTATTGCTAGAGAAGTTTATTTTTCTTGGGAGAGTGCATGTGATCAGCACAAGGCCAAATAGCACTGTCCAGACAGAGGTTAGGGGTTCTGCATCCTCTTAGAGCAAATTGAAAACTCCTCCTACAAGCTTTAACCAGTGCTCTGCTGGACACTGATAGAAGCCACAAGACTGCATTAACTGCTGATGAGAAAAGGTATTTAGAAGTTTATATTTTAATAAAATAATTGCACTTCCATGTTCTGTGTACTGTGGGAGACCAGATATAGTGAATGCAGGGTCCTGGGTTTAGTAACACTTTAAGTGTGGGACACCTGGCTATGACAATTTGTGGCTTCACAGCAGGGTGCCCATTGCACATGTGCAAGTAGTACTGCACTTTGTGAATGGTCCCACAATCTTCTGGGACCTGTTATGTGTCCCAGAAGACTGCAGGGAGGGAGGGGGGAGGACAACTTCTGCTTCTGATCGCCTAGGCCACGGGTGTCAAACTGGTGGCCCTCCACTGTAGCCAAACTACAAATCCCAAGACGCATTGCATGATTGACAGTTACAAGCATGACTCCTAAAGGCAGCTGGGAGGGCTGGAGTGCCGCCAGTTTGATACCCCTGGCCTAGGCGGTCGCAGCGGAAATGGCAGCAGATACCTGTCCAAATCAGGTACCCACTCCCCAAAGGTGCCAATTCCACACGGGGAGTGGGGGACCAGTACTTCAAGCCAAACTTCCCCTTTTGGGTGGAACTCTGCTTTAAGCACTTAAAAAGATCATCAGCAAAAAGCTATACTATGGTAATGAAAACATATAACAAATGTATAGTGGTGTAACCCTAATTTGGCTGCAAAACTTTACAGATGTTTTTGCAGGTTATGGGGATGCCATTTTTAGAGGGTTTTTAGTGGGGTTTTTTTTTTACACAACCTTGCCTAATAGAATATCCAAGTAAAAACAAATTACAGGCGTACCTTGGTTTATGAATTTCATGCATTCTCCAGGACGTTTCGTATTGCAAAAATTTAATAAACTGAAATGCAGTTTCCCATAGGAATGCATTGAAAACCAATTAATCCGTTCTGGAGGTCAGGAAAAAAATAAAAAAAAAAGTATTTTATCTGTTCAAAACTCTTTATAAAGTGCACTTTAACCGCCTCCCGCCCGCCATATAGTAATATGACGGACGCAAGGTGGTTCTCTCGTTCTGGGAGGACGTCATATGACATCCTCCCATTCTAACCGCGCATGCGCGGCTCCCGGAGCGCGGCGATCGGCAGCAGTGCACTGTGTCCGAGGGACACAGCGGATCACCTATCCGCGGAAAGAGCCGAAGATGTCAGCTCGGTCATGTGATCAGCTGTGTCCAATCACAGCTGATCACATGTAAACAGGGAAATGCCGGTTATCGGCATTTTTCTCCCCACGAGCTGTCACGCTGACAGCTCGAGAGGAGAGGAGAGCTGGTAATCGGCATTCTTCAGAGGGGACAGGTACAAAGATCATCAGAGCACTGATGATCAGTGTGCCCTGATGATCTGTGTAGCCCCAGCAATGCCACCTGTCAGTGTCCATCAGTGCCAGCTCTCAGTGCTCATCCATGCCACCTGCCAGTGCCCATCAGTGCCACATTTTAGTGCCCATCAGTGCCACATCAATGCCACGTATCAGTGCCCATCTGAGCTGCCTTTCAGTGCCACCCATCAGTGCCAGTCAGTGCCACCTATCTGTGCTGCCAGTTAGTGCCGCCTATCAGTGCCAGTCAGTGCCACCTATCAGTGTGCATCAGTGCCGCCTATCAGTGTGCATCAGTGCCGCCTATCATTGCCCGTCAGTGCTGCCTATCAGTGCTCCTAACAGTGCCTATCAGTGCCGCCTATCAGTGCCATATATGAGTGCTGCCTTTCAGTGCCCATCAGTAATGCCTGTCAATGCCAATCAATGCCACCTACCAGTGCATCCTCATCAGTGCCCATCAGTGCCACCTATCACTGTCCATCAGTGCAGCATATCAGTGCCCATCACTGCAAGCCTCATTAGCGCACATCAGTGAAGGAGAAAAATCACTTATTTACAAAATTGTATAACAAAAACTAAGAAAAAAACATTTTTTTTCTAAATTTTCATTGGTTTTTGGTTTGTTTAAGAAAAAAAAAAAATCTCAGAGGTGATTAAATACCACCAAAATAAAGCTCTATCTGTCACAAAAAAATGATAAAAATGTCATATGGGTACAGTGTTGTATGACCGCGCAATTTGTCATTCAAAGTGCAACAGCACTGAAAGCTGGAAATTGGCCTGGGCAGGAAGGGGGTATAAGTGCCCTGTAGGCTAGTGGTTAAAGGCATAAATACTGTACAGGGACGTGATTAAAAAGTAATTCGTAAATTCATTGAAAACCAATTAATCCATTCTGGAGGTCAGAAAAAAGTAAAAAAAAAGTCTTATCTGTTCAAACCTCTTTATAAAGTGCACTTTAAAGGCATAAATACTGTACAGGGACATGATTAAAAAAAAAAATGTGTAAATGCATTGAAAACTAATTAATGCATTGAAAACCAATTAATCCATTCTGGAGGTTATAAAAAAGTTAAAAAAAGTCTTATCTGTTCAAAACTCTTTATAAAGGGCACTTTAAAGGCACGGGGCCGGGCACTATAAACCTCCCAGGCAATGCATCCTGGGGAAACTTTGTATTACGAAAAAAATTTGTAAACCGATGCATTATTTTCAATGGATTTTCATTCGTAAACCGAAAATTACATTAACCAAGATATTCGTAAACCAAGGTATGCCTGTAATATAATGGTACTAAATGGTATATAATACTAGTAAATACTGTATATTGGGCAATGCATAGAAGGATATGCCAGTCTATGGTTCCCTTAAGGTAAATGCCATCGTGAAAAGAAGTGGGCGAATCTCACCAGTTTTAAGGGTCATCCTGCCATGCACAATTTGCATCCTTAGGAAGCCTGTAGGATAGGATGTAGCTCCTGATGAATGTACTTCACTACATAAATAGTAGTTCAAGAGGTATGAAGGACATAATCAACATGCACTATATGTTTTCTCATTGATAGAAAAAAAAAAAACAGCTTTCACGTAAACCAATTTATTTACATGTATTGGGATTTTTTTTTAGCAGACATCTCGCAGAATACATTTTGGCTTAAATTTATGTAAAAATTAGATTTTTTTTAATTTTTTTTTACTGGACATGTTTAATGGCAAAAAGTAAACAAAGGGGTTTATTTCAAAATTGTTGGTCTTTTTGTTTATAGCACAAAAAATTCAAAACGCAGAGGCGATCAAATACCACTGAAAGAAAGCTCTATTTTGAGAAAAAAAGGACGTAAATTTAATTTGGGTGCAGCTTTGCATGACCGCGCAATTGTCAGTTAAAGTAACTCAGTGCCGTATCGCAAAAAAATGGCCTGGTCAGGAAGGGGGGGTAAATCCTCTAGAGGGCAAGTGGTTAAAAAAGTCCCTGACCCTTTCCAAAATCACAGCAGATGAAAACGCAACGATTCCCATGGAAAACCATGTTAAATGGACTGTAGTGCGTTTCTGCAAAAAGCACAAAAAAATGCATTGGTTTGAACTAAGCCTTAAATTATAACTAAAGGCAAATATTTATTTTTCTTTTTTTTTTTTTGATTAGAGTGGAGAGGGATTAAAACACCTGTCATTTTTTTATTACTGTCTGTGCCCCCGTTAAGGAGATTCACCCTCCCTGTTTATCTGTTTACCATTATCATTGAAAGTGAAAGAAACCCCAAATTTTGGGTTGTCCCCAAAAGTAATAGAGGGGAAATCTTTCAATTGGGACACTAGTTCTTGTGATCTGGGGGGTTACCAAGGTATTCCCTTAATTTTGCTATGGGATAGGAAGTGAAGTGAAATCTATACAAATGGGACACAGATGTGAAAAAAATTCTGACAAGGGTCATAATCATCCCTAAGGCTAGGTTCACACCTGTGGCAGCACCCAAATATTGCAGAGTTCCCCTTTAAACTTTAACATTTCTAACAGTATCTGTGTGCAAGGTTTCATCAGCTCACTTCCCCCTCCCTTATTTCCTGTGAAGTAATGTATTCCAGTCTGTAACTGGTACCTTTATTTTTAGCTGAAGATAATTTATCTAGTAAGGCCATATTCTGAACTGCTTAGAAAGTCTTTTGAATGTACAGAAGTGAAAGAGGAAATATATGCATTGTGACGTAATTGCTGATATGTATACCCTGTGAGGTGCTTTTCAAGGCACTTACCTTGCTGACATGAGTCCTTGCAGGTCACTCAGCTCTGATTAATAAAAAGTTTGTTTTCATCAAGTTCGTGTCTGGAGTTTTACCTAGTATTCCCAAAGTTGCTACTACACACCTATGCAGGTTGTGTTTGAGCTGAGCGGTTGTTTCTGCATTGCGGTTTGTGTTGCTGTTTTTTGATGCATTTTTGACACATTTTTGATGCGTTTCGCTGTTTTTTTTTTTCATTTTTTAAAATTGTTCTTGTTTTTAGACAGATTTAAAACTCAAAATGCATAAAAAACGCTACAGAACACATAAAAAACTCACCACATGCTTTTCTGCAGCATGTCCATTGAAGTCTATAGAACCAAAAATGCAACTTTTTGAGGTAAAAAAAATCCCTGACCCTTTCCAAAAAATGCACCGGGTGAAAACATGCAGATGTGAACCTGTTCCATAGGAAATCATGTTAAATGGACTGTACTGCGTCTCTGCAAACCGCTGCAGAAAACGCTTAGGTGTGAACCTAGGGTTACTATCCAAAATTAAAAAAAAAGTTTTGCCTATAGTTCTACTGTAGAATAAATGTATCAGTGTGAGCGCAGGCACAAGTTTATTTCAGTTCTCTATATTTGCAAAGTCAAAGCTGAAAATGATAACGTTTTTCATCGAATAGCTTGCATAAGGACATTTACCTAAAAGAACTACAAAAGTACAAAATCAAAATTATACAAAATCATCAAATAATATGTATTCCATTCAAATTTTAATTGGATTTAGATATGATACTATAGCTAATTGTTCGATTACAAACTATAGATAACTTGCAGTGTATGTGACAGAAGGATGTGAGCAGGGCCAGGACAATGAATGGGTAGAAGGGACAGCTGCCATCGGTAAGCAGGGCAGAAAATGGACACAGGGAAGTAAAGGCTTGCATTAACAGTGCGGGAGGAAGCGCAATTCCGCATCCTTGCCCTGGGCACTAGGCGAACCTGTCCCAGTACTGAATGTGAGGTCTGGAATGTTAGGAGGGGTATTTTTATGAGACAACATTGTCATTTTTAATGGAGTGAGGGATGCGGATCATGACTGAGGGACATGCAGAATATCGAGGCTAGTACTTACCACCTAAACCATAAAACAACCACCCCCCTTCAACCTCTCCCACCTAAATAACCACGCGACTCTTCTTTTTGGTGTAAAACCAGCCATAGCAGCCCATTTATTTAACATAAACACTTCTTCCAGTACAATCAAATAATAACTGACAGTAATAATCCCAACCGGGTCCAAGGTCTTCAAAGGCACTGTTACACATCAATAACTCGGCTGTATCTGATGCCCAATGACAAGACCCCCAGCCGCTACTACACCTCCTCGGGGACAATACTACAGTTAGTGTAGTCCCAGATACAGCCAATGACCTCCCACCTTACCAACATGACCTTATAATTGGGAAGGAACACCCATACCTATGATGGGCCCAACCCATAATCCACCAACTTGTCACTCCAGCACCGCCTTCAAAGACCCAGCGACCCCTGCCGGCTGCCATGACAAAACAGAAAAACCAGACAAACACCACAGGACATCAAATGGCAATCAGGAAAAGAAAACAAATCAATGAACCCACACAAAACAAACAACATGACAAACACAAAAAGGACAAAACCAATAAACAAAGCAAACAAAAAAAAACAGCAAAACAAACAACTAAACACTCCAGGGAGGGAGGGCGGGAGAAACCTCACCCGTGCTGGCACAAGCTCTGACTGACCTCCAACAAGTCTCAAACCCTCTCCTCATCCTAGCAAGACCACCCTCCAAGCCCGATTGCTCCAATCAGGTGAGTAACCACCCCCATCTGCCTATACTCCCACCCCAAATTCAGTCTCCGCCTCGTCTGCAATCCCCAGTCATGCTGGCCCTCCCTTTTAGCTTCGCTCAGTCCAGGCCTGACTGACTTTCTCTATTTTGTATGAATTATTATTTTGTTTAATAAACCTGTGTTTTCAGCTACACTTGACCAGCAAAGTAACCTTCTTTTCAGACACCCAATTTCTTTTGGGTAATTGGTGTCAGGATATGGGTCAGCACCATCTCACAATTGGGGGTGAGTTGGTGACTACATAATGAGAAGAATAAATGTAATGAGCTACTTCCTGTAAGTGCATAACTATTTCACCCAAGTGGGGTTGTCATCACCTTACTCTTCCAGCCAGATGTTGACTTCCTGTGCCATAGTGAAAATCGTGCATGACGGAGCTCTTACTTTGACAGGTACAAGAATTCATATTGTGCATGAAAGTCAATCCTGTGTTGTTATACATTTATAAAATGTACTTTTTGGTATTCCAGAGAACACAGATCAGAGGAGATATTGGTGTTGTAAAGAGGATTTCTTGGTCTTGTGTGGCTTTTTGCAAAACTATGTTATGGTCACAATATTTCAGGATTCTAGCTAGGATCACATGCAAGAATGGCATTTTCGTATTTCTGCATAGGGCTCAAGTGTGGGTCAGACCAACATAGTTTTTTTTTTTTATTAAAGTGGAGCTGCAGTGCAAATGTAAAAAAATAGAAGTCAGCAGCTACAAAAACTAGCTGCTGACTTTTAAAAAAAAAAAGCAGACACTCCTCTCGATCCCAAGGTGTCCCCCCGCAGCCCGTTTCACCAGCTGTCCTGTGTTACCGGCGCCAGCATCTTCAGTGTGGGCATCCGGCTGTGACAGTTTGTGGCTTCACAGCCAGGTTCCCACTGCACATGTGCAAGTAGTGCTGAGCTTTGGGAATGGTCCTATAGTCTTCTGGGCCCTGTCACGTACCCCAGAAGAC